TCATGGTTGTACGAGGGCTGGGATACTGCCAGGGCGCCCACACCTAGACAGGAGGACGATTAGGGTCCTCAACCAAAGCCTTTGGCTCATAAGCCTAACCGCAGGGCAGCGATGTTTGGCGGGGAAATGCAAATGCATTACCTTTTCTACGGAACAAGTCGCCATACATGTTCCAACCCCCAACCTGGAGGGCCAGGAGACTGTGTTTGTCAGACCTCTAACCATTGACCAACCTGGTTTGAGAGACTGTGATGTCTATTCTGCCGGCCCCTTCATGCTGACTTTCTGGATGGCAGTGTGCCCCTCCGCCTGACGTGGGACTGAAGTGAAGGACGCAGACACGTATGCTGTACTACCGGGATAGCTCAATGGCTAAGGCGTTAAATCCCTGGCCGAAGGCCCGTGATTCGAACCCAACCTCGGCAACTCACCTGCTCCTGTCTGGGCTTGAGCAACTTGGCAGTATATCTGCCCTCGTGCTGCCTTCAGGCGGCATGGCATCTAAGCGCTCAAAAAGTGTTACAGCTGAATCATTGTATCGTTTAACCGAAATAAACTCATTTACACAACAATCTGGTTTTGACGAGAGGCTCGCCTGGAACCCAACTGAATCGCTCGTTTATGATGTTTTTAGCAGCCTCGTGAGTAGCGTATTCCGTTTACAATAGTGCTGTTCTGTTTGCTTCACTGGCGTAGCGTAACAAAGGCTGTTTAATTATACTTAAATCCTTGAAGTGAAGACATCTGGTGCTAGTCTACCCCAAGCATTCTAAGGTGCCTATAATTCCAAGCGCTCAGCCAGGCAATCTGTAGAGAAAATGAACTCCACTGTTGTTTCATACAATATACCCAATCAAGCACATCGGTGCCATGGGCACCCCATCGTTTAAAGCGGATCACATCCAAAACACCTAAGCCCTTCGTAACCTCTTCCACGCCCTGACCAAGCCGTACGTCGTCTTCCTCTCGGTTTTCGATATTCTGAAGGAGATACGGAGAACCAACCTCGTCTCGGTAGACGGAATTTCGGTGTGTGTGACGTATGACCCAGCAACTCCTGAACGTTTTCTGTGGCTACAATACCTGCTTTACAGCCAAATATCCGTTGTCTAATCACCTCATAACCAAATGGATGATACCACCAACAACTTCTGAGACAGTAGTCAAAAACCTGAAAACACTTCACACCATGTCTGCGGAGACCATGTCTCGCAACCGCGCAACCTTGATGCCTAATGCACGTGAGGTTCCAACCAGATTCATTCCGTAAGGTGCACTATCGGTTCACCTGGTGACCCTCCAAACACTTGGTTTGTTTTTGGAATCAGAGTTAGGTCGTAAAGTGTATCACGTTAAAAGTTGTACATTGAAAAAATTTGGTTGACCTAGTGACTTCAATTTAGTCACAACCTTTGGTTGCATCTTTTGTCTTGTCACTAATTGATCGAGCACATTAAATTGACCCCACAACATTTCTCGAGGCCCTTATGGTTGTACGTGCTATACATGAAGTTCCGGCGTGCAGTGTCACAAAACCAACAGAACGTTGTTGGTTGCAGGAATCGCCTGAATTCTTGCAAAGAACTGTGTAAGGAAACAGGTAATAGGGGTAAGGCGTTTCAGAAGGGCTTGGTAACGTGATACACGATGCACTCACGCTGTCTGTCAGCGATAAAGACCGGGTTGAACCTGAAAGAAAGTAAGCTCTGACTGAGTCTCATCATTCTGAAACAGCAAACAAGGTTGACACAAAACACTGAACACTCAGTTTTTCTTAATCCTACACTATGTTTATGTGAGGATGCTTCCACCGTTTGTAAATATACATCCTTCTGTCAGCTCGTATATGGACTCCTAATAGATGAAGTTCAAATGTTTCGTTTGGATAGGTCGGCGGTCACTTCTCCCAGTTATAAGCAGGTGGAAAAGGAGATGTCAAAGCTGCTAACTTACTAAGTGATTCGTAGCTGACTGGTTCTTCCAATCGATAGACCGCTTCAGCCTGCAGACAAGAAAAAGCGCGTTATTGGGCCATATAAGGAACAAGAAATAACTAACTCAACTACCTGAAAGGCTAAACTAAACTCCCCGTTCAGTATCTGACTAGAACATACACTCATAGAGTTCAATGTTTCAAGTTCGACTGAATTCAGATGCTTGTGGTGTTCGCCGTGTTCGACCGAACACCACAAAGATGTGCCGAACTGCATCAATGCAGTGAAGCTCACTTGACGGAAATCTGTTTTAGTCTTCCGTTGGCTGTTAGTAAGCAAACGCTTGTTCCGTGACAACACTGTGTAGTTGGTCAGAAAAACTAACATCTGACTGGAGCGGTTCGAAACACAAGCAAATATGAAGCTATTCATCCCAATACATCATCACTAACACTTCCACAATTCGGTGTCAGATCGGCAAACAATATCCAGGGGTGCCTAGCCTCCAAAAACAGATGCGCTCACTACTACTGAACGAAAAAAGATCTGAAAATGTGTGATGCTAAGGTTGATAAGGAAGACAGCAGTGTCTCTTGTTAGTGTTTGTTACATGTCCCACGTTCGCCGAAGGTGCCAACGCAAGGTTCAACGTACGTTCTGAGTCCCCTTAAGTACCCAGTAGCCATGTTTTCGAAGTTCCTATTTTCGACGTCCCAAATCTTTAATCACAATTTTTGACTACCGTATAGTGACTGGGAGCGGTACCCGAACTACAGCTTGCAACTTCATGGTCACTGGTCGGTTAGCTGATTAACAGCTCAGACGGTCTCCCTGAAACAATAACCACTGTCTCGCTGACGTGAACCGAGTGACAGAAAATTTAAGAAATGTTGTCTTCAGAATGGTTATGCTCTAGTTGCTCAGCCGATGGAGATAGAATGTAGTGTAGTGTATGCAGTAGGTAGGAAAACGGAAGTAAGTGAAGAACAATTGCAATTGACTGCACAGCAATTACGCAAAAACCTGAGGTTTCAAGTAAAAGCTTAAGGGATGGGGCGAACCATCCTGGTTGTGACAATAACCCTATTTATATTTGCCTTACAGGCGTTCATTTTAATTTTTGAAGTTTCAGCAGTGTGGGAAAAATTTCGCGGTGCGTGTTGGTTATCTGCATTCATCGAAAAGGGTTTTTATAGGGTTAGCTATAAGAAGCAGCAACCACCCTTCATCTGGTAAGCAGCCGTCTCATCTACAATTGGGCTCCTTCTATCCGAGTGGCAATTTCATTCGCAGATAGACCGCCGCAACTCATACAACCATTAGGGTGGAAAAATTCACTCCATCACACCGATAGACTATTTTGCAAAGTTCACGCTTGATGCCCTGCCTTGCAGTCGCACCCAACAATTTTCAGGTGTGAAGAGCATTTTAAACAATGCGACATGATTGGGCAACTGATCAGGGTAGCTCAGTGAATTAGATCGTGAACTATCATTTGAAAAACCTGAACTTGACCTCCCTGAACGGCTTCAAATTGACCACTCGTCCTCATCTTAATAGTCTGTGTGCCCGTTGTCTCAGATAAGATACTATTTCCAATTTACTCCTTTTCGCACTTCGACGCCATCTCAATAGTCTAGGTGTTCGAAGTCTATGGGAGAGCTTTTCGGCTCCACAGGCGTCAGCGGATATTCCAAGATCACATCCATGCTAAGGTTAAAAGGGAATGGAAGAGCAGGCAGCCCCGCTTGATACCGTAGTGTGTGGTGATCTCGGGTGGAAGCCTACGGAAGATTCTTAAACGAAATCCTCTCATTTTCCTTGGGACTTCCCGTACATTGATTCCGTCAGTTTGTATACTTCTCATTATGTTCACGGAAGAATGAACAGCACCGAACCGAGCCTCACTCAAGCTGTGTTTAGTACTCAGGAAGGTCGTTTGTCTCTCTTATGAGGACTAAGGACGGCCTGTGACGTCAGGGGGCCGCGTTGCAAAATCAGAAGGAGCACACTGCAATGTCGGCATAAAGTCAACAAGTTTTGTTCGCTGATCCTTCCTTCAACGCATGCTTTGTTAATTGGCCACCTGAATAATGGGATTTGTTCCAGTTAAGTAGTGGCGTAAATCAGAATGATGTGGGTCGGGCGGGAGTGGCATCTATTCGGACGACTAAGTAAGCGAACCACTACGGAAATCCAGCATTGAACTTTATTTACATTAATAACAATACAGATGATAAACCCCCATAGCTCGCTTCTCCATGACTGTGTGTGTGAAGGTCAGAACATAAACAAAGTACACAAACGAGACTAGTAGAACGATTCGGGTCCGTTGATAATTAGCTTGGAAGTCGAAATACAACGCAGCGGTGTGTGTATGCACAGTGCGGCGACATTCAAAGTTTGGAACGGACAGATCATCACGCGTTTCAATCCTAAATCGCCACTAACCAAAATGGCGAGAGACCGTGGGCACCTATTCCGTATAGCTCAACATGTTACACAGAAAAAGTGAACGGTTGCACGTTTCATAAATTTCGCCGACCACGGATGGACAACTCCACTACAGTTATATGGAGCGATTCAATAGTCCCACTTAAGCGGTCGACTAGCACTGGTGGCAAAAAATGCAGCGAAATGTCAAGTAAAGCAAAATAAATCCAACGTATAATAAAAGAAGTCTGGCTAATCTCGGTAAGTTAGCTAGTTAATTTCATGCATCGCCATCATCATCGGCAGCATGACGTCAATGTTCAACACTGATTCTTCGCTGTCGTACGTTCATGATTTATTCGAAAGCCTTATTGTGAAAAAAAGAATAAAAGTGGACTACAGTCCTTCCCAGGTGCCTGCATTTCTATGCACTCATTAAAGCAGTCTGGATGGAAACTGACAACAAGAATGCCACTGACATCGGCTGGCACCCATATCTTGCACTGTCTCCAACCAGGCACAATGGGGATCACGCGGTCCTCATCCTGGAAGGCGAGTAGCACTGACAGCACCCAAACGTTTCGTGATTTCTTTCGCGCCCCTCCGCCAGCTCAAGGGTTGGTCACTTCTCTGCTTCCGCCATTCTGAATTAGGCACGGAAAACAGTACTCGTTTCGACAAACGATGGTTCGGCATGCACAATACATGGCCTAACGAAAGCAGCTTCTGGTGTTGGATACATTCTTCAATGGCAGTCCCCGTTACTTAACCAAAACTCACTTTCCGATCGCATCGTTGTAGATTTTCTGACACCCACCCACACTAGCTATGGTCCTGAGATTGTCGAACACCATTTCCGCTGCTCGAACAGGCTAAGTTTCAGTCATACAAAACAGCCCGCACTGTAGCCTGATACACACGTCCATTGAGGTTCAAATTATCAAGCGTCACCCGGGCCTTGAAGATTCGTGCATTAACCTCACCTGTCACAATAAAATAAGAAGTAACACAACTTCTAAGGTGATGAGACGCTGCACAACTTCGAGTGTCTTCCTGGATTGTAAGTGGCGTGTACAGTTTACCAAAGGACAGGATGACCCTGGTCAGTTCGTCCAGATATACCTGTCTTCTCTTGTTTAAAGACCACAACGGTCGTTTGCATATTCCAGATGGACAAGATTTTCGTCACAGACTATTTGAACACCGGTGTTTTGAAGACCCTCCGGCGTTCGTCTCACCAAGTCATCGACCATGAAACTAAATAGGAATGGAGAGAGTGGATACCCCTGATGGATATGCTTTATGTACGGAAACTTCTGAAAGGCTCACCGTATACTCACACAAATCCGGAACGTAATATGTTACAACCTTCTGGGGCATTCCTTGACGGGCAAGCGTGTCAAGTAGAACAGACTGATCAAACGAATCGAATGCGCCTTGGAAATCTAGGAATAATAAAATTGTGGGCCGTCCAGGGTTCTACCTCAACTATGGGCTCAAGATAATTGGCACCTGGTGGTGTTCGAAGTATTGGGCCCACCGGTTGAGGCATTTTTCTTTATTTAAGTCGATCACCCTATCCCGTTCGTTAGTGGTTTCTCCTACAACCAGTTTTCTGGGCCCGGTCGCACAAATAAACTGAAATAGTCTTCGTGTATTCCCGGCTTCTTTAGTCGCTCCCATTTCCTTTGCTTTCTGTGTCCACCAGACTTCACTGTCGGCTCGCATGCTCACTTTCACTTGAAATCTGATTATTCGTCGCGTCAAGTTATATTCGCGACTGGTTGGGATATATCTCCGAGATTTTAGCAGTTCCAGTGTTCGGTCTGATATCCAGTGCTTGGGTGCCCTTGGAGGGCCATGCCACAGGCAAAATTCCCAGCGCCGTGCAAAGAGGTGGCAATCTCGTCCCAGCATGAATCCATATCTTGTGGTAAAGCGTTTGGAAGAGACTCTAGAAGACGATTCTAGCATCCGGATCTGCCAGTCTCTCAGTTGTCAAGTGACTTTTCCACATCGCACGCGGTCCGGGATAATTAAGTGATAAGCGACTCCGGACAAGTGCGCGGTCGGAGTTCAGAGTTGTGTTTCAAAATGATCCGCAGTCAGTCATTGGTCCGCTCCATCGGCAACTGATGATAATGTGGTCGATTTGAGTTTGTGTCCGGCACGCCTTTGGATGACACCATGTGGCCAGACGACTACATAAAAGCAGCCTGTGATCAGGACACAGCTGAAGCAATCGTTCACAATTGTCCGTACGTATTGAATCCAATCCATCCATCCAAGTGAGTCTCAGGTGCGCTAAGCCTATCCGCTTGTGCATTCAAATCTCCGGAAACCAAAACTATTCGAAATTTTGGTTCACCGGAACAAGGCATTTAAAGTGTCATAAAACTTGTCATTGGTGGTGTCATAGCTACAGTCGGTTGGGAGGAAGGTAAGCGGACACAGACAATTTAAAACTCCTTGTAAGACTTCTTCATAACAGTTGCCAGATGAATCGCGCACATCAACGGGTATCCAGTCAAGCAAGAATATTTTCGCTTTGTGACTTAGGATGATACCGGGGGTGAGATGGACCAAGTGGTTAGAGCGCGAGTTTACTGACCGGAAGGTCCGTGGTTCGAACCCGACATCTGCCTCTCGACTTCCCCTGTCTAGGCTTGGGCAACCTGGCAGTATCCCGGTCCTCGTGCTTCCTTCGTGTGGCATGGCAGCTAGGCACCGAAAGGGTGTTACAGCCGAACGATAGGGTGACATCAACCACTGCACATTCTACTGCAGCAACCTCTGGATCGCCATTGGTACGCAGCCAGAAGCGAGGTGAGAGTGATGGATGTTACCAGAACGGAACTGTTAATTGTCGGGTGTTACAGACGATAGGGTGACATCAACCACTGCACATTCTACTGCAGCAACCTCTGGATCGCCATTGGTACGCAGCCAGAAGCGAGGTAGGTGTGATGGATGTTACCAGAACGGAACTGTTAATTGTCTAAAATTTCGTCTTAACTACGGACTGATCGTTTCTGGTCAATTCTCACATTCTGCTTATATTTGTCGTCACCACACGTTCAGCC